CCGATCGATTTGTTAATTTAACTAGCACTAAATTTAATGCTTAATGCCACCCCGCCGTATTGTTAAATATTTGGTTATTAATTGCAATTACTGATCCATTAGGATAAGGGCTTTCATCTATTGTTTGTTTACATTTTCAGATATTTTAACAAGGGTGATGAGCAACAGTCAAGTGCGCACATGTACTGTGTATTAGCAAAATATCCCAATTTTCATTCTTCTTATGAGAAATAATTTGCTGATGTGATTACTTTTTTAGTGGATGAGGATTTGTACGTCGTGTAAATAAAACGTTAGGCATAAATATTGAAATATTTTATTTTAAAATTGTGATATGTGGTACATCACCCCATTATTCTTAGTTACAATGTATCTTTTATCTAAGTATAGTGCTAGACGCTTTCCTCGTGCACTCCTTTTACAAATTCTTCTTGGATGACCCAAACGTCTCTGGGTTATTTGTATGTAGCTGTATACACAATATAGTATGTTAGGAAGTTTTCTGTTCTGTTTTTTTTAAGTAATATCACCAAGCATGACGTACCTATCAAATTAAGCTAAGCACTCAATACTTTGCCGAGAAAATACTTAAGCACCAGCTTCGAAACAATATCTAAAACTGTTTCATCAATATAAAATTATTTTTTCTTCCCATACACTTGAGATGTCCTACCTCCCAAAATCTACTCCCTTAAGAACGTCATGTACTGAGAATTGAAAGAGCATCCCTGACAGTCTCGATACGTAAAATAAAAAAATATCTGATCCTCGGCGCCGTGAGGTTTACTTCTTACATGGAGAATTCGATAGGAGGGATCGGATCTCAATGCTGCGTCGTACGTCGCCTGTACACTCAACTCAGAAAACCATTTACTGTCTCAATAAAGCAAATTCATTGCAAAAGTGGATCATGGCAAAATGTAGGACTTAATCTTTTTTTCTGTCAGTGTAGTGCCTCTTCTTGTGAAACGTTAAAACAAGACGTTATAGAGGTGGATTTCTCGATAGAAGAAGACTATAATGAAAATCTTGAACATGACGTTTATCTTGGCGATTCAAGTGTGAAAACAAATTGGCGTTGATTTTGACATTCTTTTAATGAAAATATATGTTGTGACATCTCTGCATATGTTAACATCCACCCAACAACTTCTTTCAACATAAACTCCTTCAACTTGTTCCATCACCTGACAACTTCCTTTCCGGCTCGTCGCTATTGAAAGAAACGAAGAACATCCGTTTCATGACGAAATCTTTTAATTGTTATTTCCCTTCGAACTGTTTTTACGAATATTCCTAACATATCCCCAACAAAGAATATGTAAGATATTACTGTGAGAATCAGAAATATAATACCTGGAAATGTATGATCATTAAGAATCTCGAATATAAATACTTAAAAGACTTTTCTATGTATAATTAATGTATTTTTGTCACATTCTGAAACTAATTAATTTTTTTCATAAGTGTTGTGATTCTTCTTCTCTGTGGCATGTTAAATTCAATAAAATAAGTAAAGACAGTCGGGCATTTGTTCTAATATTATGGTTTATAGTTACTTACATCGTTATCAAACTTCGTTTTCAGATGACATTAGTATGTAGGTTATTGTTTTTAGTCATAATCATTTATTACTTGTATACGCGAATGGAACACTTTATAACCCTACGTCATATTTATTCTTTGTTTAATTTTTGTGCCTCAACTTCACTTATAGTCGGACCGGAACTTGGCCTTATCATTCACCAGACGCGGACTTTTTGTTTGATCAGCTGGAGGGTGGGTGACGAGCCCATCACTCGGCCCGAAGGATGGATAATGGGGTTTGATAAAGAAGGAACGATTTCACACGGTGCATGGCCCCTATTCTAGAAGGCTTCTTCGGTATTCACCTGGAATTGATTAAGGAAATCACGATAACAATTCCTCGGAGTGTCGACCTACGAATTAGATGCTGGCCGGCGCTCCAAACTCACCGATGATAAATGCATCACGGAAATTTCCTGTATCTGGTACGGGTCAAACCTGCATCCAAGTACGCTCAAGTCACAAGGCGTTGTCTAAAAGCTCTCTGCCGGTTCTGTTTATGTCGTATGGGACAACAATAATGGACGTAATGCAAGGGAGGACGAACATCATTCCTGTTGGTAATGAAACCTGCATATTTCTTTTTGTGTGTGATTAGACATACTCTTTATGAGAGTACTACGCCCTTTTGAAGTCACGGATACTAATGTGTGCGTTATTTAATTTATTAGAAACCATACTTCCTTTCGAAATTAAATTGTGGATTACCCCATTTTAATTTTACAATTTTCCCTGTATATCACATATCATTGATTCATTCTTTGTTTAATTTTTCTTTCCTCATAAATCTTCTTCGGTCCCGTCTCCATCCCTTGGTTTTTTACACGTTTTTTTAACTTATCTTTATTTTGTACCGTTAATACACTTTCCTTCTTCTTTACCAGCCTTCTCTTGCCTTTATAACATTTTCCTTCATCTTCTTTATTCGCCATACTCCCTTAACTATGTACAAAATTTTACCTAGAGATTGTCAATAACAATACACTTGCACTTAATACATTATCAATGCATTTTTCTACTTATTTACTATACTTCTCTTGGCTTTATAGCATGTTCCATTTTGTTATTACTATATCTTACTTCCCCAACCATTAAGAAACTTTGTTTTAGAGTGTCAGTTAACCTTTATCTTGATTACTTACTCTATGTCAATATTTACGTGACATTCCCTTTGATCCTTCTCCCCCGCCCCCAGACCTCAAAAATTCTCCTTCTCTCACTCCTGCCCTTTCACCACATTTTAACCTTTGCTTTGCATAATAACCTAGCCACAGATTCGTCGTTTTCTTCCCTTACCACTTCCTCCATTACCTCCTCTTTTCTACGTCCATCTTCTACCCCTCTTCACCGCGACCCATTCTACACATAATTATTCCTGTGTACCTCTTTTTCCGTTGTCCTGTTGATATCCCATATAGTATTATCTCTATAGAATACAGGTACGTAGTCTACCTGTAATCTGTATACCCTGCCACTTTCTTTATATTTTTTGTCTATTTACCCTTCCTAATCATATCTCCCTTTTTATCATTTGCAAATACTCGCATTTTACTGATTTTCGCATTTCAAAATGCATCTCTTTACCTTCTTGTTTACCTAACCATTTACGTCTCTGTTCTCGTTCCACTCAATTTCTTCTCTTTATTTCCTTCAACCATCTCAGACCCCTCCAACCATCTTGTAACTGTGTTGTCTCTCTCACTTTGGCCATGAACTCTTTTCCTTTTTCTTTACCTCCCATTCCCAATTACATCCTACTATATCCCCCGCTGGATGGTGAGATCCAGCATCGATGTACCGTCAGCTAGTGGGGTTTTCCGCAACCAGATATGTTCCACCAACAGAGCACCCCTCCCCATTCCCGGCTGGAGCAGTGACTTGATGATGGTTAATGATGAATGGAAAATACCTGTTTGTGGAAAACCCCTCTAGCTGAGTAGATAGGCACTAGATCTCACCATCCAGTGCAGGGAGATTAATGTCACCATCACCTCCCCCAGAATATGTAGACCAGAAACTGTATATGTGTATATTTAATGTGTGTACTGTGAGAAGTTGTTCAGTATTATTAAAACATGGCTGAGAGGCTTCAGTGACGCCACCAGTTCCCGCTCCAGCGTCTCTGGCCACGAAGTTCTGAGGTTCCAGTCCCAAAGGTGCCGAATTTTCAGTACAAGCTACATGGAATTCTGGATCGGTCTGGAGGAGTCTTTTAGCTGACAGGTTCTCTGATCTGTAGTTGGCTGTGGTTTCTCCCATCCTGTGGTGTAGTTGTCTGTGGTTTATCACGGCGAATGCTGGTACGAACGGACCAAATTATTAATGGTACCGTGTTGTTTCTTAGTGAATATTCATTTGTTTGTTTTATTACAATACAAATGCAAACATATTTAAAATTCTCCCGCAGGAATCTAATAAAATTTGATTATTTTAATATGTCCTTAAAATAGTCTTTCCCGTCAATAATTCCAATCTTTTTAATAAAATAAACACACAAAATGGATCTAAAGAAAACAAAACAGAATGAAAATTTTGTAATGTAAAATCCATTTTATGAATTCAACAGTGGTTAATGTTGTGTTCTGTGTGGATTTATTCGGCAAGTACCGTTCTGACATCACATCTTTTCGTTTTAAAATATCGAACGTTTCAGGGGAGAAATAGGTAGCCCAAAATCTTCTTGCAAGACAGAGTTTTTACATTTTAACACAATATGACATTATGTGAGTGTGCTGAATATATTAGACTTCAGCGTGTTAAAGTTGTTTTCTAAGTTTTTTTTTGTTCTGTTCTTCACACAAAATATGAGAATTTAGAACCATTTAGTATGAGAAATTGGGGATTTTTAGAATCAAATATATCCAATTTTCTATCAAAACGAAGACCGTTTCATTGTTTGTAATTTTCCAGTCTTTCGAGTTACCTAACGAATTCATAGACACCTCTCGCGAGAGCGTATATAATATTACTACAATAGACTATTGTTTGAAATCATAAATATCAAATTTTATGATCTATAAATAATCAACAGAAACAAATCAAGGTTATACCTGATATTGTAAGAGATATTTTCGAATAGGTTTGGAGCTGGATTGTAGGAATGTAGTGTATTATGTAGGAATAATGTGTGAAAACGAATGTGTTCACCAAAGACTTGATTGGTCTTACGTTTTTTGCAATACATATCTTGTTATTGAACTTCATTTGATTTCATATTTTTTATCATTGTATGTTTATATTGTTATTAATGCATGATTGTGTTTCCTGCCATAAATACTATTTAAATAGTTTATTACCTTTCTTTGAAATATTGTAAGAATCAAATTCTGTTCTGGAATATGGAGTAAAGGATAATGTGACATAGGAACAAATAAAAAGTGGCAGAGTACGATTAACAGAAGAAAACACCAGATCACGATACACATGGAAGTTTATTAATGAATAAATGCACAAAGAGAGCGCACGCAGTTCGCACGTCCCGCTGGCGCAACATTTTGCGCCGCGGAAGTTGGTAGCCATGGCCTCCGACGTCCGACGCGCGTGGCACTACTGTGGGAACAATTCGGCCGATATACCGCCATTTAATCAGCGAGACAAATATTATTATTTTGCTTAATAAACATTTGTATTAGACTCCATAAATTGTATGAATTTTGTTTTCTACTCTTTGTTTTCTACTAAACGAAAATAAGACATTAATGAAGTTTGTGAACGTATTTTTTGTCGTAGAGCGAAAATCTGTTTGCTAATTTGCTTGACTTCCTCTCACTTATGATGTTTGCAGAACGAAGATTAATATTTCGTGAGTTTCGTAATAAATTCAAAACGGGAGCCTTTCGAATATTTAAAGGCCATCCCACAAGAATCTAACATGAGAGTGGGCAAACGAATCTCGCATTTAGTTGTTGTTTTTTTTTCAACCGTTGAGCGAAACTTGAATCAGACAAAGATCAAAATTAACACAGCCAATAATTGATTTTTGAAAAGTTCAATAATTCTTTCAAAAACAAAATGGCGCAGCAAATCAAAAAAATCTTTCGCTTTTAACGTAATCGGTCGAAATGTTCCACGATATTTCCATTTCGTGGGTGCCTGAAAACGCTCAGCGACTACCAAGTCGCCAAATATCTGCGAGTTGAGAGATCGTTGAAGAGAATCCGGTCTTAATGATGAAGTGTGAGTCGTTATTATTGGATCTGCGACTTATAGAATCAATTGTGCGAATCAGGAGGAAGAGCGACAATGAACAGTGATGAGTAAGACATTTTCGTTTTGAAGATACACTTCCCTCTCTGTCATCTACTCTTCGCAGTCCTTTATTTCTCGCAGATATTTGGCAGCATGTACAGATGGTTTCTGAAATAATTTTCCAAAGCTAAACAAGAAGCGTAGGATATTTAATTGGGATCTCCATCGCATTCGTTATGAATATGGCGGTGTACTTGGTCTTCCTGAAGCTAACACGAGTTGGGCAAAGTTAGCGTTCGTGCCTGCTGAGACAAAACAGCGGAAACAGGCCAGAAATAAACCTATTTCATATTTCCTGCGTCGTTCTCACCGCCCCGATTTTTATCCACACTTCTAGAGATGGTTAATTTGTACTGTCAACAGTGTGTCAGGGGTGGCGAGTGGCATATTCAAGGAGCAGGCCCGCTCCGCCAACGATCTCATCGCAGATTGCATATGCTCCGAAACAACGAGTAGAATGACCTGGAAGCAGCGTTGCCTTTCTGTGCTGGAGCTCTGTGCAGCAGAGTGAAGCGTCGCGTGTGCTTAGGTTACGTAGCCCGGCCAGCCTCGTTTCATACTTCGAGTGTCCTTCCAAGGCCACGAACCGAAAAAAGAGGGGGGTTACTCTCATTCAATCAGGAGCTTCGACACCTAACATGGAAGTCGTAACGAAGCTCGGGATTGTATGACAGTGTGCCCGTCTCCTGCCAGTTCGTGGCCTGGAAGGGGGAGTTTTAATCAGAGCCCGAACCCCGCTGAGCTGTCGTGGGAGGGCTGCGGCTCCCCTGGCAGTGGCCCTTCGCCTCGTGCTCGGCTTTGGAACGTCGTTTCAGAAGCCACGTGTGGCCGTCGGGCGCTTCGTGTGTGTCCCCGCAGGGCGCCGCACTCCGGAGGCGTCCGCCGCTGGCGATTGAGGGGCGCCTTCCCCCTCCTCCTCCGTCAGACCGCTCCCTCCCCTCACTCGATCGCGGGATCCTCGCGGGTTCCTGTATAGATCTACCTCGCCACAAGACCGGATTCAGAAAACTTTTTTTGAGGGAGGAGACACTTGAGTATGCCCCCCCCCATAAATAGTTTTGAAATAAAAATGCCAACTTGAAATAGTAAAAAAAAAAATTCATAATAAGACTACTTCTTTGAATTGATACGATCAGTATGATAATTGCTTTGAAAAAAGAAATGAGTAAAATTTAGAACAAGTATTGGCGTGGAATGGGGCAAGGACACCGACCCCACCCTGCCGCCACTGCCCGCTGTCGCTATTCGCGGGGTTCACTGGCGAAGTGAGCCTCGAGACGACGCGGCAGCGAGATCAAAGGTCTTCTAACAGATCCCGAATGAGGCTTGTGGGTTTCGTGAAGGCAACAACTAATTGCTCTGTCTGGGCGCCAGATGAATTGCCCAAACTCACCCTCCTGTCGCCCCAACGAACAGCCAGGTACTCATCAAGCAATAGGTTGAGTAACCCTCGGAGCCGCTCTTGAAGCTTAAAACAAATGAACAAACCCTGTCTCTGCCCCTATAGAGTTTCGTACTCCAGTCCGTGAAGCATTGACCCGATACATCTGAATTATTATAATATAGGTACCATTTGTACCATATGTAATTTAACCAGTCCTCGAGTTTCTTTTATTCCTTTTTAAACGGCGAGTGAGAGAATCCAGCCATAGCGTGGCTGCTTGTGGCTACGGCCCTGACCCTGCTTCTCAGGTGAGCGGTCTGCGCGGAAGAGGGAGTTCGGCGCTGCCTCGTTTACGGTGCTACAGGATGCATTTAACAGTGGGGTGACATTCTACGATCTGATTGCTTGCACAAGAAGTCCATAAGAAGCTGTAAAGCATTTTTACAGAATTTATACGAATTTGTACAGAAATTATACGAATATAAGCTATTCTTGTATCGACATTGCTTTTTTTGTGCTATTACGCCCTAATTTATTTATTTTATCTATCAATAATTCGTAAGCAAAAATGACTGCATAATAAGTCATTAAATATTTTCAGTACAAAAAATTCATTTCTTCATTCTTTTACATTAGTTGCATCTTCGATTTACCATTTATTTATGTATTTATTCAGTTCTGGCTGTTTTGGGTTGTTTCATTACGATTCTGCGCACATTTGAAAAGTATGATCTAGAGTATAGCCAAGAAACGATCTGATTCACCTTCACCTTATTGAACACCCAAACATAAACGACAAGTCTTTCTATTGAGAATGAAACCATATTACCAGTCCCTAGTAAATAAATGTAGAAAAACCGCAATGAAATTATTTCCAATGATGATACGATGATTTATGAGAAATTGGATTTGGATTGGAGACAAAAACACAAGTTCGTCATACACTTGAAGTCTAGTGTGCGCAGACTAGCTACCGTCCATAGTTCTGCGTGGCTGCGGCGTCGGCGGTGGCAGTGGCGACGGACTATGATTCGTGGCCCCTTCCGCATCGGCCGCTGCCACCGCCGCCGCCGCTGCTCTTGCTACTGCTGCTGCTGGTGCCAGCTCAACATGCAGACCCCTCAAATCTCGTTTCATTTTCATGTTACATATGATTCACGAACGGCTCCAAAAATCGCTAGGGGACGTTATATATACTCCGTCTTCAAGTTCGCTTCAATCTGAACAGGGTAGCGAATTCTAATCAGTTTGGTCGAATCTGGCTTGCTGCGCTGCTTTCACAGTATCTCTGTACTATTGTGTACAACTACGTAAGTGTTGCCGTTGTTTACTTTACGATGCAGAGGGTGATTTCATTACCATTTGCACAACACTGGTAATATTGGACCAATGAGGATCGCAACCGTGAGTCAGGCATCTTTGTGAATGTTGCGAGTCCTATTCTCGACAGAAGCGTCTTGTAGACGGAGGACAGCGTTGCCCTCTAGCGGCTCCAGTGGTTTGCGTGGGAGGGGCCGCTGCGCTGCTGGTCGTGGCGTCGGCGTGGCGCCGGCGCGCGGGCGGTGACGTGTGTGACGTCACTAGTTGTCCACCCGCCTGCTGGGCTCCCGGGGCCGCGGGGGATCAGTGACGTACGTCAGCTCGTTGAGGTAGTACCTGCAACAGCGCACGGCACGTCAGCGGCCCCCAGAGCAAGGAGGCAATATCGACAAAACATCCATGTTCAACATCGCAACACATCCATGTTTTTGAACATTGAAACACATCCATGTTTTTGAACATTGAAACACATC